TTTGGGAGCAGGACCTGGGTTGGGTGTGGGGTTCCGGGCTGGGCACAGGGGTCTGGGGAAGGTCTGGGGACACTGGGGACATGGGGGTCAATGTAACCAGCACCAGCACCACCAAGCACCAGCACTTTTGGCGCAGTAGTAGGTGGCCGTGTCGTCGGCCGTGAGGCTGCTCATCTGCAGCGTGACCGTGCTCTGGGAGTTGTCCCTGGAGATGGTGAAGCGGCCCTTGAACGCCGACCCGTAGTATGTGTCACCATCGTTGTCAATTCTCGCGACGAACTCCAGCCCCTTCCCAGGCGCCTGCCGTGCCCAGTGCATGGCGAAGCTGCTGAAGGTGAAGCCGGAGCCGGTGCAGACGAGGCGTAACGACCCGCCGGGGGGCTGGAGAACCCCTCCGGGACCCCTCCAGACAACACCAGCGTCATGGCCGCCCGCAGCCCTGGGGAGGGAGGAAGGAGAGAGTTGAGTCGCCACGTCCCACCATCATCATCATCAGCATCATCGTTGTCCCACCCAACGACCGCGCCCGGAGAGGAGATCAAGATGGCCACCGCCTACCTGGGAGGGCTTCGAGGAGGAGGAGGAGGAAGGTGGAGGTGGGGCTGACCCAACCCTGCACCCTCCTACCAAGCCCAGACCCTCACACCTTCTTTGTCTCCATCTCCGGCATCTCCGGCTGCCAACGAGTTCTGGGCCACAACGACAGGATTTGGGGCAAAGGGTCAAGGTTTGGGCAAATTGTTGAGGTTTGGGGCAAAACCAGTCCAGATTTGGGGGAAATAGTGAAAATTTGGTGCAAGTGGTTGAGATTTGGGTCAAAACCTATGAGATTTGGGGCCAACGGTCAGGTTTTGTCATAACGGTCCAGGTTTGGGGTGAACAGTTGGGGTTTGAGGCAAAAAACGGTTGAGATTTTGGGTAAGTAGTTGAGGTTTGGGAAAATTGTTGAGGATTGGGGCAAAACCACTGAGATTTGGGGCCAAATGCTGAGGTTTGGGGCAAAAACAGTCAAGATTTCGGGCAAACAGTTGATATTTGGTGCAAACGGTTTAGATTTGGGGTGAAACCAACAGAATTTGGGCAAAACCAACGAGATTTGAGGCCAACGGTTGGGGTTTGGTGCCGGAACAGTCAAGGTTTCGGTGAAGAGTTGAGGTTTGGGCCAAATATTTGAGGTTTGGTGGAAATGGTTGAGGCTGGGGCTAAAACCAGTCAAGGTTTGGAGTAAATGGTTGAGGTTTACAGCAAAACCCACCAGATTTGGGTCAAACGGTCAAGGTTTGGGACCTGATCAAGATTTGGGGCCAACAGTCACGGTTTTGAGCAAACAGTCCAAGCGTTGACGAAACGGTTGAGTTTTTGGCCAACACTCAGGATTTGGGGCAAAAAGGATTGAGGTTTTGGGAAAAAAGTTGAGGTTTGGGGCAAATGGTTGATGGTCGGGTCAAAATCTGTGACATTTGTGCCAAATAATTGAGGTTTGGGGCAAGAACAGTTGAGAATTGGTGAAGAGACTCGAGGTTTGGGGCCAAACCAGTCAAGATTTGGGGTAAAAGGTCAAAGTTTGGTGCAAATGGCTGAGGTCTGGGGCCAAACCAACCAAATTTGGGTCAAATTGCCGAGGTTTGGGAGCAGGACCTGGGATGGGTGTGGGTGTCTGGGCTGGGCACAGGGGTCTGGGGAAGGTCTGGGGACACTGGGGACACGGGGGTCGATGAAAGCAGCACCAGCATCACCAGTACCACCACCATAACCAAAAGAACTTTTGGCGCAGTAGTAGGTGGCCGTGTCGTCGGCCGTGAGGCTGCTCATCTGCAGCGTGACCGTGCTCTGGGAGTTGTCCCTGGAGATGGTGAAGCGGCCCTTGACCGCCGGCGCGTAGAATGTGCTACCACCACCACCAGTAGTACCCGCGACCCACTCCAGGCCCTTCCCGGACGCCTGTCGCATCCATCCCATGCCGAAGCTGCTGAAGGTGAAGCCGGAGCCGGTGCAGACGAGGAGAAACGACCCCCCGGGGGGCTGGAG